TCCACCGCTCTTCCCCAGAGGGGCCTGCCCTCTGAGGTCCTGAGCCATTGCATCAGGACCCTCATAGCTGAAGTCTTCTCTAAAAATGACGATCTTCAGACCCACGTCTTCTGCTAGGAAGACTCGTCTGATAGAACCAGAGCCTGTTCAGGGCAGGACCCAAGGAGGCACACTTAGCAGGGGCTCCCACACGCCAGGGGACATACTAAGGGAACCAGTCTCACGAGACTGGCCTCTGGTGCACTTAGAGCGGCTAGCTCGGTGCCTATATCTAACTTCTCATAGTCAGATAAATACTTAATTTAATTCCTCAGAATTAAATGCAGCCAAACAACCAGACGAGTAAACACGGTCTGGTGTGATAAGATTCATATCAAAAATCGAAAATTGTATATCTAACTTTTCATAGTCAGATAAATACCTCATTTAATTCCTCAGAATTGAATGCAGCCAAACAACCAAACGAGTAAACACGGTCTGGTGTGGTAAGATTCACATCAAAAACTGAAAATGATGTAATACATGCGTTGCCTCGGCAGCGCGCAAGCCACTTGGTCACACAAACAATATCAATCTCCTTGGAGAAAAGTAGCTGCAGCAGCGAGCTCTCACTCAGAGGGGGAAGAAACCTCAGCGCGGGCTTCCGAGCCTCGAGAGAGAGAGCTGGATCTAGGGAGTGCAAGCGAAGAAAGGGCGAGCCGTCTCCAACCCATCCGCTAGATCCACGTGCAATCCCCGCAATCTTCCCTCGAGAGCTGACTCTGCGTGTTTTGATCCAAAGCGGACAACACACAGACTGTGCGTATCCCCACCCGAAAGTCAAGTGGTCAAGCTGGATGCGTTCCCGTAGCGTTTCGACGCAGCTCGAGTTCCTGAAGGGGAACTACCCAACTCCTGGGTAAAAAATATTAAAATAACCCAATAAAAATTATCCAGCAGGCTGAACCCAGCATTTGGGTTAAAAAATAAATAACCCAGCATTTTTAGAGTGTAGTTTAATTATCATCATGATGCACATTTTTCATCTCAGTTTCATTATTAGTGGCATTATTAGTAATTTTGATTAGATTAATACTGAAAAGCATTAACGCATGCGCATTAGGGTTTCAATCCCAAACTAGCTGGCAGCACCAGCCACTGGCAGATCACGTGACCTACCAGTGGTTGTTGGCTGCGTGGCGGCTGGCAGTCCACTGTCAGGAACCATTGATTTATAGCAGATGTATGTGTTTTTCTCTCCTTCCACTCTAGCTCTGGAAATAATGTTATTATTTTTTATTATACATCCCGGTGAACTGGCCAAACGCATTTGAACCGCTCTCTCACTGAATCATACAGCCTTCCCCTAGCCACAAGGCCTGAAATTAACAGTGGCTTGAGGCAAAAATGCGACCAAATT